ACTGGATAGATGGAATGTATGAACTAAACACACAATATGGAAGTAGGAACTATAGAAAAAGAAAAAGATCTTTATGCAGGAACTCCATAAAATCACAGCTCAATAGAATATGTCAGATTATAAGAGGAGAGTATGGGGGGAAAAAATTACTCTAATCAGCTAAGTAGGTTACCATTTTTGTTTTATTCTAATGATTTATTGTCCTTTTATCAAACCTGTTATTAAAATGTGCAAAGATAGGTGCAACAGTATAAAAATTACCTAACTTTATCTATTATTTTACCAAAACACACAGTTAGTGATAAAGTGAAAAAAACATATCTTTAAAAATAATTTATGTAGTCACACATTTCTTTACACTTTTACATAAAACTTTTTATCAGATAACCACAAAAATATAAGTCTGGGTGGAACTATTGTAAAAAAAGAAAATCTTCAAAATGACCGTTTTTCTATACATGCTATGGAATTTACTGTTAATAATAAAACAAATGAGTACCACTGAAATAAAAATTATATTATTATGGTAATTACAAAGAATTGAAAAAATTATCAAAACCATTGTAATTATTATAAAAAAGTAACTACCTCAGTGCTTAAAAAAATCAAAACAAACTTTGGAACAACATATTTTCACATTTCTCAATGGCATTTATTTAAAAACAGTATTAAGGGCTGTATTGTGTTAAAAAAATTCAGATACTTTTATCTATGTACATCAGATGACACAAACATTGTACAAATGAATTCAAGTTCTTCACCTTCTGCTGCCATAAAAAATTGTGAATAGAGACCATCCTCTTTGACACCTAAGATTTCATCAGGAGATCTGTAGTTCCTGAATAGGTGAAGTTGAGCAGGAAGTCTGTCAGCTAATACTGCAGTCACAGTCACTCTAATAAGAGAGAAATATGGACTATTAATCAACTCTGAAATCACTAATGAAGAATCAAGAAACATAGTATACAAGTTATGCACTAACAAGAAAAAAAAGTCACAGTTTCAGCTAATAAAGAAGTCACTAGTAATCTAATTACTTGTCATTAAGTTCCTCAAACTGATAAATAAAAAGCAAAATTACATGTCTTATAAGCTTCTCAATCACTCATTACTTTCCCATTTTTTCTAGATCATTCTCATATTATATGTGCATGCAACCAGTGCCATATGCAAGGGTAATTACTACATGTTGAAGTTTACAGCCTTTATCACTATAAGGAATCCAAAACATTTTGAAATAAAAAGATATGATGGAGTGTAATAACAGTTAACTGTTAAAATTCCAAAGAGCTTGTTTTCCAGGAAAAATTAACGTAGAAAAAAAAAAAACAGAAACTAGTCAAAAATTCTCTGTTTTGGTATTCAAAACTTATGAAGCATAAACAAAAACTAAAATATAGATGGAAAAAAAAGTCATAAATGAGAAAACAAAACAGAAATCCTAGGTACCAGAAAGGCTTTGTCTCATACTGGGAAAAACTAGGACCCTCTTTTCTTTTTGGTGTTCATGAACTAATAATTTTGAACATCTCAAAAAAATGTTTCTGGACAGGATGGGTGAGGTTAAATACAGGATTTTTATTCTGTAATAGAAAAGACAAATTACTCAATTCCACAACATTTTAGGCAATAGTCCTTTGCCTGGTGTGAAGAAGATATAACACAAAAAAAAGACTCTTCACAGAAAACCATCAATACAACAATACCCAATAAAATTACTCATGAAAACTCGTAGAGGATAACAACTATGAAACACATTTTTACACAATGTTTTGAACAACCATGTATATATTCTTATTAAATTTCAAGTACATCCTTGCAGCCAATCCTGATAGCCACCAAAACCAATTTGATCCTCCATTTATTGACCTCAATGGAAAGGTTTTCATGCAACTTTATGAACCTAGTCCATAAACTTTTTTGGTATCCATACAAGAGCCCAAATCGAATTACAAAGTTGCTAAGTGAGATAGGACACAAGCTTTGTAGGAGTGATATCAGTGTAACTAGATATATGAAATATAATAAGGAAATGAAAATACAGTACATTAACATGCTCTTAAAAGTAAATGAAAATAAATAAAAATATGCATCAACTAATTATCTCTGTAAAATGAAACGGCACAAAAAACTTGAAATTTCATCATAAAGTAAGTAAATACAAGAAAATATGTAAAAGCAACAAAAAAGTTTTACCATAATCAGTAATTTAATTCAACATTAACAACAATGACAAAAGTAAATATACACAATAAACAGAATGGCTTCAAATGAAATTAAAAATAATTTTGCCCTGGTTATTAGTGTGTTGTTAAGATGATTATGATTATAAATAGAGGTAGTCAAACAGAGTCAGGCATATAAAAATACTCTAAAACTATGCTAAATAAATGGCTTGGTAAAAGAGATGGATGATAGATAACAAAAACAACAACTTATATTATAAAAATGAGAGATTCAACTAGAGTTATCTAGCTGAAAGATATTACTTATTCTGAATGTCATTTATCTTTGTCCATGAAAGAATATTAAATCCAAAAATAGGTAGCTCAGATGGCCAGGATGGTACTTACTAAAATGTTTACCTCCAGGTTTAATAACATAATTAATACTAACATGTACCAAAAATACTAACACATGTATATCAATGATAATTCCATACACAGACCAGTTTGACCAAAGTAATGCTTGTTCAACTTTCAGCAACAAAAAAGAACATTATATTTTCTGAAATGAATAATTATTTTATTTAAAAATTTATCTTGTGGCTTTGTATGGACATTAAATGCAATTGCATGATGTTCCAGCTAGGAACATAAAGGTGACAAATACAAAATACTACTTAAACACATCTGAATTGTTGGATATTTTACTGTTCATGTAGTAACTTTCTAATGCTAATATAACCTCTCTTTCTCTCAAAAGTTCAATTATATTTTATGAGTATCCAAAATAAATTTTCAGTTAAAATATCAAACAGTAAAGTGAAATGTTATTTTCACTTTTCAGCAAATAAGAATTGTCTGAACATATATACAGTTTGTACATTGAAATGTTTTTAGTTAAATGAACTGAAATGCTTCAAAAAACTGTTATTAAAAATGGTAATAAACATACTTGACATTTCTTATGTCAGTCATTACAGTGTCTTCTCCTAATTCCTTTTTTAAAAACTGGTCCAAGAGCTGAGAATCATATGGGCGGGATCCTACAAACACCTTGTCCTTCAGTCGAAAATACAACTGTAAACATTCTTTCGGTTTCTTTCCTAAGTGATGAGACAGAAAATATGATAATAATAAGTTTAAGCAAACAAACCTGGAAACATTGTGTTTTATATATGTTACAATTTTGTCTTTCTTTTTATCTTTAAATGTAAAAAAAATTTTATATTTGAAACAAGAAAACTGTAAAATCAGAAGCTAAAACATTTACAGTTTTATCTATTTCTAAAATAGCCAAGTTTATTTCCTCATTTACTTAATTTGCAATGGAAAACATTATAATTAGATAATGTTTCAACATAGTAATTCAATTTTACTAATGACTCATATTTTCATTTTATTTATAACTTATGAAACACCCCTGAGAGAGTGAAGTTTCATATAATTTTAGTTATAAAATAAATCGTTTTTCTGAGAAGTATTATTTTAACACAACATAAAATTCAAGAACAAGGGGTAGTCCCATCCATTTAAAAAAAACTGATCAATTACATATTTATTGAGCCTTCCTATAAGCTCCCTTAAATTTACTGCATTCACCAAAACTGAAGACAAACCATTTCAAAGGCCAACCACCCTGTTTGAAAAATAAAAGTCAAAGTTGAAGATGACTCCCACAATACTAAATTTCATATTTCTGCCCACTTGTCTTACCATTGTCATCACTAAGTAGAAAATATGATGATGCATTAATACTCTGAATTTCCTTAATAATTCTGACTGCTTCAATCAGACATACTCTAAGTTTTTAGCCTGTCTTTGTAGGACAACTTTTCCTTCCCAGGTTGAATTTAGTATCCCAGTCATTTCATAATCATAAAAAAAATCCTTCTGTTATTATCCATTAAAGGCCCTACTCCCATCCTAACATTTTGCTCATTCTTAGTTTTTAAAGAAATCATTACTATTAATTTTTACATTTTGGTATTATTTAATGTTTAGAGTGTTTATTTTAGTCAGACTAGTTCCAAATATACGGGTAATCTAAAGTTACATCATTAGGCATCATTTACTGTGTTTTTAGATAGTTGGTTGTAGGTACTTAGAGTATTTTAGGATACTAAAGTTATTACACTGCAAAAAAAAAAATATTAATACAAATGTAAGCTTAATAAGAAAGATAATTTATTTAAATTGAGAATTAAAATCATAGTTCCCACTATTATTTGGTAACTATTAACTCCTGTAAATTAGATAGAATTGGTAAAATTAGTTAAAAAGTGTAACCAGATGTGAACATCTCTATTTGTAGTACTAATAACTAATAGTACCATTAATAATTAAAGGGTATTTTAAAGTTATGTTTATCTTGGATTTAATCTATATATTGTAAAATAGCTTAGTTTAGTTAAATTTATATTTGATGGCTACCGATATACCTAATACTATAAAACTTTTAACTTATTATCTTATTGCTTTAATGAGATATAACTATTTTTGTTCAACATACATTACATGCCTCTCCAATCTCTCTCTCTTTAAATATATGTCAATAATTTTATCTCAAATTTTACTGGACAGGTTTATAACCACCAGAAGAACCATATACTGAGTTAAATAAATCAGATGATTGATTGCTTTCTACTGTGAAAGCCGATAGTTCACAATGTGTGTGTGTGTGTGTGTGTGTAAAGACATTGTTCTAAGGTATAATGGAAAGTTTTAAAACTATTTATAGATTAATCAAAAAGCCAGACAAATTATAACAATTCTGGGACATTCTATTCAAGTGCCTGATGCATTTTCTGTGTACTAAAATGAATATTTAAAACCTACATGAACTATATATAGCCAATATAGTTAGAATAAAATAAGGTTACAAAAGCAGGCACCCAAGTTCAAACAGGCATCAAGGATAAGGTAAGTGCTTCATTTCTTGTTTTTTATGTATATTTTTTATTTATTGTTATATATTTGTTAACAGAAGTAACTAAAATGTAAGAATTAAAAACTCAAGTTAAATAAGAGAACTTAAATGAAAAAATTTCAATAAAACAGAATGAAATACTAAGTATTTTTGTCATTTTATTGTGTGTGTGTGTGTGCAACATTTTACATAGATGTGATTCAACTAACATTTCTTTTTAGGTTTGATAAATACTGGTTGGGAAAGGAGCAAATAAATAAATAAATAATCCTATTCTTTTAAATCAACTAATGCACACACAGTTGGTGAATCAAATGACTAATCTGTACTGAATATATTTCTCTTTTTTACTCTGTTATGCCCAAAGTGCATTGGGTTATTATTACTTAGGTCCTTGTAGTGTACACCAGTGCTTCTCAAAGATGGTTCCTTGACAAACATCTATGGGTTCCACAGAATGCAAGAGTTATGCATATTCTAATGTGTAAATACATACTGGTCACATAATTGCAATCCAACTACATCATAGTTCTTTATCAGTATAGTGGGTTTCATAATGACCCAACATAATAACAAGTCACTGCATTATTTTAAGTTCGTGAGCAAGAATAGATACAAATGGGTGCTGGAGTCATGTAAATTTTTATTATTTGAAAGAGCACACTTTTCAGTATGTGTGTATGAAATGTTTCATGCTTTGCATGTATTTGTGTGAGTATATATCTGCATTACACATATGTACTCTGTCTGGAATTACTGATATAGTATTGCTGTAACATTTTTTGTAATGAGTTCTGTGAAGGGTTCCATGACACAAATTTGATGCCAGAAGAGTTCCACAGATCCAGAGGTTGAGAATCACTGATATATACCTACAACGTACATTTCTATTTCATTAATTTCTTGTTTTCATTTTTCACTTTGGACATTTTTTTATTTTCATTGACTAAAAAAACATGTACCTTATTTTAAGTTACTTTTTAACTGTGGTTGAGACAATATATAGAGCATTCCAGCACTTCTCTTTCTTTGGTACTTGAGCAATAGTTTAAGTTTTTTTCTTTTCCTCATGAGTGGGCGTACAGGGACAACCTCAAAAGGCTAAATAGTCCATTGTTGTCTGTATGTTATATTTCCAAATTTAATACAGAGTAAATGCAAGTTTTATGAAATCATTTTGAACTATGAATTTAAATGATTAGCTTAATACAAAACAATTCTTGAGCTATAACCTACAACTTAAAAGGGAACAGTAAAATGAAAATTTTGAGCTCTGACCTTGGGCTAAAGCAAGAGCCAAAATTCCACCAGTGCTAGTGCCAGCTATCCAGTCAAAACATTTAACAAGGTCGCATCCAACACATGTCTCCAGTTCCATCAAAATCCTTATAAGAATGAGGCCCCTAATTCCACCTCCATCTAAACACAGCAGGTTATCTGTTTTTTTTCCATATTGGTCTATATGGGAATCTACCACATCAAAGCTGCCCAGAGATGATGTACCAAACTGTTTCCTTGTGAGAGCTGCATTTACAACAGCTGCACTGATGATATGATCATACACTATAAAAAGAATTCATTTAATCTTAATCTTAAAGCATGGAAGAAATCTTATGCACAAACAAATATGAAAAACTGCAGACATTTGATATATAAAGGTTGAATTCTCTAAAGCATAAAGTTTTTAGTATTGTTCAGTCAAAAATACCTCTATAACAGATGGTAACACTTTAACATAAGTTTTATCTACCATCCATGTTAGTCAAAACAAAACTACAAGTTAATAAAAAAAAACAAGTGATACTATTAGAAAATACACAATTTAATCATGCAATGGTCAGGTCAATGTTTGAATCTATAATACTTAGTATATAATAACAAAACTTTCAGTAGTTGCCACTGAGCTGTAATTTTGTTGTATCAAATAATGTTTCTTTGACTGGCTATTCTACAACAGATGACATCAGGGTCTATCAAGTGTCACAATGCTGCTAGGAAAGAAAGTTACTGACAAACAACTGGAAAGGATTGTATAGTGAAACAGGTGAGATCATATCTCACTTGATCAATTACTTCAGTATTGGTCAAGATCTTGCTATCTCCAACTGTTGGTTTGTTTCTTGTTAAACACAAAGCTACACAATGGGCTATCTGTGTTGTGCCCACCACATCATGAAATCTGGCTTTTAGCCTTCAGGCTAACTAATGAGTCACTGGCAGGCACCAACTGTTGGATAGCAGATAAAAAACCAGTCCAAAATTTGCTTTTTTCAGCTACACACACAGGAAATCATGGTTTTAAGGGTCCAAACTGTGCAAGTATGGTAAGTGGCATGATGAGCTTAGTTTCTCTCACTTATGATATAGCTATCTAAATAATAAAATCAGGATCAATGTTATGCTGAATCTTTACAATTAGAGAAATTTGTTTTTGTGACTTCAAGGATAATTTCTTGTGAATTAGTTACTTACACTTCACTATAAACTTACTAGTTGCCATTGTGTATTAAACTCTGCATGTGTTATAATTCCATTCACATGTTATTTGGGTGACTGGGAATTCCCACTGTTTATTATAAGCAACAGTTCCTCACAGGTCTGTATAAGGTAGCTAATCATGATTTTTGGAGGTACCAGAGAAACTTAGTGCCTCTCCATTGACAAGTACTTTCAAATAAAGTGACACATGATCAAAACATATCTTTACCTGTTGGAAGCAAAACACACTTCAAACCGAAACCAAATACAGTTTAGCATATAAATCCATCATACCCTAATGGTATAAATACTATTAAAATAAAAAGAGGCCAGCATATAACTCACTCATTTTGCTTTTTGACAGAATTTCAGAATCCAAAACAAGAGAAAGTAAACAGCATATAACTATCAACTTCTATCTGTTGACACTATCATATCATCCATAGTGGTAAAAGAAGAACATATTACATGTTGTCAGCAATGCATAGTTCAAAGTAAGAGAAAGCAGTTAGCATACAACTACCTCCTTAAACCATAGAAAAATTACCGTAATTTTCGGTGTACAAGACACACTTTTTTATCCCAAAATTTAATGTCAAAATCTGCTTGCGTCCTATACACCGAAGATATGAATAATATATATGTATATATACGATATACACAAGCCATGTGTAAATATATTTAAATAGGCATACATAGTTTAGTTCAATTGATGTGTTATTTATAACAATAGTAG